TTCATTCAAAATATACAAAGTGAACTTACTTTCTAATCAGCTACTTTTAAAATATTTTTGCTTTCATAAAACGAAAGTAAAACACATTTAAAAAGAATGAAATCACCCTTGTGTGAATCTTTAGTCTTTAATCATATAAATCAGCTAGGATAAAATATTAAAATAATATTAGAAATTATAGGCACAATATATTGTTTCTTGAGTACCAATTTTCACAGTAATATTATACTATTATAACAACTCTATGGGCATCAGAGGTGTTTGAACCAGAGCAACTCCATCTTGAACAGGAGCTGGGTAAAATAAGGGTGAGACCTACTGGGCTGCATTTCCAAGAGGTTAGGCATTTTAAGTCACAGGATGAGATAGGAGGTTGGCACAAGATACAGGTCACAAAGATCTTGCTGATAAAACAGGTGTAGTGAAGAAACTGGCCAAAACCCACCAACACCAAGATGGCAATGAACGTGATCTCTGGTTGTACTCACTGCTCATTATATGCTAATTATAATGAATTAGCATACTAAAATATACTCCTACCAGTGCCATGACAATTTACAAGTGTCACAACAGCATCAGGAAGTTACCCCATATGGTCTAAAAGGGGGACAAGCCCTCAGTTCTGGGAATTGCCCTCCCCTTTCCTGGAAAACTCATGAATAATCCACCTGTTATTTAGCATAGACTAAAGAAATAGTTATACAAATAGCCAACCAGCAGCCCTCAGAGCTGCTCTGCCTGTGAAGTAGCCATTCTTTATTCCTTTACTTTCTTAATAAACTTGCTTTCACTTTATGGATTTTCCATTAATTATTTCTTGTGTGAGTTTCAAGAATCCTCTTTGGAGTCTGGATCACAACTCCTTTCTGGGAACATCTTCCTGGCCAGCCATAAAGGGATGATACTGATGAGACCCCTAAAGGGATGATACTGATGAGACCCCCAACAAAGGAAATAGACTGTAGCACTGATTTGCTGACTTTGTGTAGGTGATGGATGCTAAAATGTGCACTCTGAAAGAAGAGACCACCAAACAGGCTTTGTGTGAGCAACAAGGCTGTTTATTCACCTGGGTGTGAATATGCTGAGTCTGAAAAGAGAGTCAGCAGAGGGTTGTGGGATAGGAGTTGGTTTTATAGGTTTGGGGTAGGCAGTGGAAAGATACAGCAATTACAGTTTAGGGCAGTTTTTGCAAGCTGAGAGGGAGTTGTAGGGTCTCAAGTCATGAGGTTGACCAAGATTGGTTACAAAGTCCAATTGCCTTATCAATTGAGGCCGGAATAAGGAACAAGAGAGAATGTGTCAAAGTTAATTAGGTGCTGCAGGGGTTGATTATTTCTTCTCCTTTTGTGGTTTTCTAGTTACTTCAGACTTTCTAGTTCCAGGAAGCCAGTCAGAGGTGTGTGTGCATCACAGGGATTGCCATGACTCAACTTAGGGTATGGTCTATGGTGCAATGAGTTAGTCCAAAAGACCTTACATTGGGGTACTGGGGTAAAGGATGGGATTGGGTTAGAGGTTCAACTAAGGGGAGTTAGAGTCTCCCCTAAGACAGAGTGGATTAAAGGCCCCTCTTCATAAAAGGCAAAGAACTTGACTGAACTTAGGTCCAAGGTCCAATTTAGGAAGGTCAGAGTTCCTTCTAAGATTTAGAGTTAGAGGCCTCAGTAAAGTGTCTCTCAGCTAAGACTGGATTTGGATTTTGCATCATGGAATGTTAGCCACTATTCTCTTTGGATCAATCTGTCTTATACTCTTTGCTGTTGGCTGTGGGTGACAGGATTAGGCATGTACAAGATTATGGGACATGAGAACTTCTTTTTTGCCAAAGGGGAGCACTTGAGAGCTGATGGAACTGCTGGGAAAAAAATCCCTTTGCAACTGACAAGAGGCCACCTGAACTTTCAATTCAATGTGGCTGCAATGGGTGGGTCTTTCTCTGGCATCTCTGAGCTTTTCGCCTTTTCCACCCCACCACAAGGAATGCTTTTCTCCCTATCTCTTCTTTCCCTTTTCTATCTTTTCTGTTACTCGGGGTGACCATCTTGCCCAGAGACCACGTATTGAAACTCCTGGTTGGAGATTGGATTAAACATAATGGGCCCCATCTCAGGGCAGATTTGAGGCTTCAATATTGGGTGCTAAGTGGAGTGGCTACTCTAGTGAATCTGATATACTTTGTGCTATACATTGGTCTTTCTGTATTACACTGTCATAAAGATGAATGCCTGAGGTTAGTGAGACAGCCAAATACCTAGGCAGATAAAAAGGGGTCTCTAAAGACTCTCTGACCTACCCCACAAGTATTTAAATCAGATGCTTTTGTGCAGATGAGAAAACCTGCACAGGGCTTGTCTGGGTATGCCTACAACAGACTGGAGCCTGACAGGCACAGGGAAAGAAATGGGTGGGGCCATGGGGGATTTTCACCTTATGCAGGGGAGGAGCCTGCTCTCTTTAGCTCCTGTGGTGACCTGGAAATCAGTCAGTGAGGTGGAGGGCCTGTTGGTAGTACTCCAACTCACTTTGCTGAGTTTTTTTCTTTTTTTCCTTTCACCCATTAAATTCTGCTCCTCGCCCTTCTATGTGCCTATGAGCCTAATCTTTCCTGGCTGCATGACAAGAAAGTGGGTTTAGCTGAACTAAGGAGAAAGTTCTGCAACAACAGAACATGGGCTTAGGACCCCATAAGCCCACTGTTTAGCTGGCCCAGCAAACTGGTTAGTCATATACTAGAACATTAGAATGAAAGCACAACAGGTTTTACTTAGAGCACTGATCTCCTGGTTAACAAAAATTGTTAAGGGTTTTAAAAAGTTTATGAGAATCCTACCTTATAGTCAAACTGATTAAGATTGGATAGATTTGTCTATAAAGTTTTATTAAAAACTGGGTTTGCCATCAGTAGTATAGTAATGCAAAGGGGAAATTTAGGCTTCCTCTCTTGAACAAGATTTTCATGTAATATTAAAGGATAATGAAAGACTACTTGCCTTTGAATAAACTATAGAAAAAGAAGGATAAGAAAAGTGACATTGTTTGGAAAACTAAGTCTTCCTTTTGTTAATGAGTAAAGGTTTCATTTGTATAAATATGTTATTGGTATGTGTTGCAAAATTATGGGAAACTCCTATAATTCTGATACAACATAGTTTACGTTGTTGGCAATAATTATAATTGTTATACTAAATTATTGTGTGCCATAGAGGTAACTAATTTTCTTGTCAATTTTGCCTTTGACTGTGGCTGCCCTAAAACTTTTTGTTATCCACAGACCATTGTCATCTTGTTTTGTTCTTCCTCAAAAGGTGGTTTATAATCAACTATAGGACTTTGACAGGTGCTCTTAAATGCAGGTTTATGATATCTTTGGAGACTATGACATCAGAATAGAGAAACAAGCTTTCAGGACTATCGTGGAGAGCTGAAATGTTCATGAACACATATTAATCTTCTAGATATTACCTTATGTCAGAACTCAGAGTTGTGAATGGCCCTCAGCATACCAGTGCCTTCTGACTGAGCTCCTCTCTACCCCAAATACAAGAGACTCTAATGTTAGGCAGGGATATCATCATCCCTGTTCAACTTGAAGAAGTTGCAGAAGATGAATCTTTGTCCTTCTACAACCCTTAGGATTAAGGGTTCCCTTGTAAAAGGGAGGGGTGATTATGTCAGATGCGTTTAAACCAGAGTAACTCCATCTTGAATAGGGCCTGGCTAAAATGAAGCTGAGACCTACTGGGCTATATTCCCAGGAGGTTAGGCATTCTAAGTCATAGGATGAGATAGGAGGTTGGCACAAGATTCAGATCACAAAGACTTTGCTGAGAAAACAGGATGCGGTAAAGAAGATGGCCAAAACCCACCAAAACCAAGATGGCAATGAAAGTAAACTTTGGTCATCCTCATTGCTCATTATATGCTAAATATAATCCATTAGCATGCTAAAAGACATTCCCACAAGTGCCATGACAGTTTACAAATGCCGTGGCAATGTCAGGAAGTTACCCCATATGGTCTAAAAGGGGGAGGAAGCCTCAGTTCTGGGAATTGCCCACCCCTTTCATGGAAAACATATGAATAATCCACCCCTTGTTTAGCATATAATCAAGAAGAAAACATAAAAATAGCCAACCAGCATCCCTCATGGCTCTTCTGCCTGTGGAGTAGCCATTCTTTCTTTCTTTATTTCCTTAACAAATCTTCTTTTACTTTAAGTATTTGCTGTGAATTCTTTATTGTATGAGGTCCAAGAATCCTCTTTTGGAGTCTGGATTGGGACCCTTTTTAGTAACATTGGTATAAAATCAGCTTCAATGTATACATTATAAAACTGATATTTAGTTTAAATGATACTTTCAAGAACTACATCTATTAAGTTGCTGAGGTAGAAGCCATGCCCATGTCTATTTGATTCCAGAGCTTACACTCTTAACCACTCTCTTATATCAATGTCTCCAATTTTGCTTTGGATCAAGACCCAGCATGATTCAGTATTTTAAGAGGCTGACAGCTGTATCATAGCAGCTCTATCATAGCATTTTTGTAATTGCTGAAATTAGATTGTCACAGTAGAGCTAAAAATAGGAGGCTCATCATAGGACTTGCTAAAACTGATTCTCTTTCATAGATGTTAGACCAGTGGCATAACTTTTATAAAGAGAAATATTTGAAGAAAAAGTAAGGAATGCCCAAGACTTAAGGAATAAAAACAATACCTGAGAGCAGTGACAAAGGCAGATGTGAGGTCATTCCCAGACTTCTAAAAGGGAACTTCCATTCTTAGTGTCAGTTTGGTTCAACAAATATCTGGCCATATTTCTGATGGCTTTGTATAAGCCTTGGTCCATCAGTAATCCTCCTTCTCTAGTGCCTTTAATTGTTCTTACAAAACAAGCACTATCCCATAACCACAATATTCTCAAATATCTCCAGGCCTAGAAATTTATTTTTGAGCCAGTGCCACCATATACCGCCTTCTATTAAATAGTAAGTTCATGCTCGCCTTGGCAGCATATATACTAAAATTGGAACAATACAGAGAAGATTAGCATGACCCCTGCACAAGGATGACACACAAATTTGTGAACCATTCTATATTTTAAAAAATAGTAGGTTCTTAAAAATAATTATTGATTCTTGCAATTTATTCCATAATCTATTGTAATTAGGGAGCAACCCCAGGATTTTATGCTGCAAAATCTATCCAGAAGAAACCTAATAACTTTCAATCTAATTCCATTCCCAACCTCTGCCCTACCATCTAATTTATTAGATATGTTCAGAATATATTTCATATTATTGAGCATTACACTATAAAATGTATTTAATGAAAACAGGAAGCAGAGTGCTAACAAGAGTTTGACTCAAATGAAAATCGTTTCCCCTACAAAGATTTTAAATAATACATACGTTTACTTTAATTGTGCATATATAGCTATAAAATCTAAACATCATTGTGTAAATGCAAAACTTTTGTAATTTAGAGGTTGCTTATTAAAATTAAAACAAACAAAGGTAAATTAATTTAGCCAATATCACTCAGTGGTAGATCAAGGATTCAAACTAAGGAAATCTAAACTCTAGTTTGATCTAGTTGTCCATTAAGATGTCATTTATTTTCCTATCAACACTATGACATTAGTAATTCTTTTCTGCACACTGTAATCATGCTTATAAACACCCACTGTATTTATACATCTCTAGGCATTGTTTTTGTTTTGCTCATCTACTTTTTTCCAAGCAGTAATTTAGACACTGATGTCAATTCAGCATCTAACACAATGGTCAACTTATTTTAAATTTTACTGTTTCATTCATTAATTATGTTTTTGCCCAGCTCTTATTAGGACAATACCTAGTGAAGAAAAATTCTTATATGGTACCTTTGTAATATACTACTATTTATCACATTTCTCCACTTGAATTATTTTTGTCCCTTGCTTTGCTTAACATTACTCCCTATTAATTACTTTCATAAAGTCAAACTCCTCTTGGCCAATCTCATTCAATGCCTTACTTTCCTAAGATAGCACTTAAACTCAAGTGATTGTCAAATTAATTTTCTTTATCCTCTTAAGCAAGCTTGCTGCAGTCAAAAGGGAAGGAATGCATAGTAAAATAATTTGGATATAAAAATCTATCTATGCTAATAATTGAGTGAGCTTCCTTGAACTAGTCAGTTAGACCTCTCACTATCACTTTCTTAATCAAAAATTTGAGATACTATTAATCTATCTTATAGGATGACTGCGAATCTCAAAAGAGATAATGCATACCAGAGTACATTGCATATAATGAAGATTTACATGAATGCTTTTATTACTTTGAATCTATAACCTCCTTGGGTAACCTAGTACTTCACCCTTTTAACTATCTATTTACTGTCTGCTGTTCACTTGAGATCCCCATAAGTCACCTCCAAATGAGGAAATATCAATCAATCAAACAAACAAACAAACAAAACTCCTAAAGTATGAGAGGGTGAAAGGACATTGTGCAAGTGTCGGAGGCTATTGGAAGGAGGATAAAGTGTAATTGGAGCCAACAAAAATTTTTGAACATAATTGTTAGGTGACTAATTTTGTTTTAAAATGATATCTAAAAAAATATAAAGAGAAAGAGACAGGAATTTGTCTCCAGAGATGAAATACTATGACTTAATCTGTACTAATCATTGAATATATAGAAAAGGAAGTTGAAGAGAAAAATCTTGCATTATGTTGACTTGACATACCAAAGTATAAGAAGAAGCTGTAACTATAGAATGACTTTCAAGTTATATAGTGAGTGGAAAGATGGTAGTGATTCTATTAATCTGGATTATGTGTTGTGTTGATGTTACTGGTTGAATATTGTGATCCTCAAAAAGCTATGTTTAGGTCCTAATCCTCAATATCTGTGAATGTGACCTTATTTGGAAATAGGTTCCTGCAGATGGAATCAAATTCAAATGAGGTCATTAGGGTAAACCTTACTTTACTATAACTGTTGTCCTTGTAAGAAGAAAAGACCGCCATGTGAAGACCGAGACACAGAGGCACATTGCCATATGACAGCAAATGCAGAGATTAGAGTGATGCAGCTGCAAGCCAACAAATGACAAGGATGGATAATTCCTACCCAAACCTAGGACTAAGAAAAGAATCATTCTCCCCTACAGAGTTCAGAGTGAGAATGGCCTTGCAAATACCTTTATTTTAGATTTCTAGCCTCCAGAACTGTCAGACAATACATTTCTGTTGTTGTAAGCCACCCAGTTGGTGGGAGTTTGTTGTAGTAGCTGTAGGAAACTAGTAAAGTTGATAACCTTAGTTTCTATTTGTTAAGTGCTAGGTTTGAGAGGCCTTGTAATACCCATGGAGAGATGTACAACAAACACTAAGAAATGCAAATCTGATGCTCAGGGAAAAGGTAAAAGACAGAGACATTGTTATGAGAATCTTCAATACAATAACCATAGTTGAAGTTATCCTGTAAGGGGAACATAATATATTACATTAATCAAAATTATTAGTGCTAGCTGATATAACAACAATAATCTAAAAATCTATAATAAGATAGTCACATTTTCTAATTTACTTCCATTTGAAATAGGTTGCCTGCAAGAAGCCTCTGTATACTGAAGCAGGCATCTCAGAAAAGAAATTTGACTCCAGAAAGGAACTTCTACTTAGTATGGCATTCTTCTTACATCTTACAACTTCACTATCTTATAAGGACTCCTTAGATTCTTCATTGAATTTTCTGTAATCAGTAGTACAATTAATGAAAAAACAAAAAAAAATCAATGAAAATTACCTTATGAACCAAGCCTGTCCACATTTTACCAACTAGAACTCAATCATTTGTCTCAAACCTAACTTCAAAGAAATTTAAGCAATGTAGTCTCACAGTTTGGTCAGATGAACATCTCTTTGGATTCTATTACAGATGTCCACAGAAATCAATGAATGCAAAATGGAAAATGATCTATGTACTTAAGAAAGTACAGATGAAATTTTATTATTTCCAGAGGATAGAAAAATAAAGACCATTTTTGGCTATGTAAAATCAGAAAGTAAAGTAATATTTGTCTAGACTTTAAAAACTATGGCTGGGAATGGTGGCTTACACCTGTAGTCCCAGCACTTTGGGAGGCAAAGGTGGGCCAATTGCTTTGAGGTTAAGAGTTTGAGACCAGCCTGGCCAATATGGTGAAACCCCGGTCTCTATTAAAAACATAAAAATTAGCCAGGTATGGTGGCATGCACCTGTAGTTCCAGCTACTTGGGAGACTGAGGCATGAGAATCACTTGAATCCAGGAGGCAGAGGTTGCAGTGAGCCGAGATCATGCCATTGCACTGTGGCCTGGGTGACAGAGCTAGACTCTGTGTCAAACAAACAACAACAACAAAAAGGAAACTAGAGAATTTGGAGAATGATAGAAGAAAAAATGCCTTCAGAAAAGGAGAATCAAATAAGCAGAATCACAGAGTCAAGAGAATTCCAAAATTTCTTCTGAGAATAGCATTTGGCCAGTTTGGTCAAGGTATGTGAAAAGAAACAGAAAATATAATACTGCAATTCATATGGCACTGCAGAAAACCTCCATTGCCAATGCAATATTGAACAAGAGTAACCACACTTTCTGATTTCAAATTATATTAATTACAAAGCTATGATAATCAAAATAGCATGATACTGACATACAAATAGACACAATGTAACAGATTAGAGAGCCCAGAAACATACCCAATTTATACAGTCAATTAGTTTTTGACAAAAGGCACCAAGAATACTCAATGGGAAAGGATGTTCTCTTCAATAAATGGTATTGACAAAACTGGATATTCACATGCAAATGAAATTGGACTCTTGTCTTATACTATAACCCACAAATCAACTCAAAATTGTTTATAAAGATTTAAACATAAGACCTATAACCATAAAAGTCCTAGAAAAAACTACAGGGAAAAAAACTCCTTGACATTAGTCTTGGCGACGACACTTTGGATATGACTCCCAAACACAGGCAACAAAAACAAGAATAAACAAGTGAGATTACATCAAACTAAACAGATTCTGCACAGCAAAGGAAACAATCAACAAAATAAAAAGTTTGACCTATGAAATGGGAGACTGTATTTGCAAACCATATATCTAAAAAGAGGTTAATATTTAAAAATACAAGGAGCTCATGCAACTAAACAGAAAAAAAAAATCAAATAATCCAACTTAAAAATGACCTAAGGGCCTGGGTAGACATTTCTCCACAGAAGGCATACAAATGGCCAACAAGTATAAGAAAAGGTGTTCAGCGTCACTAATCAGGAAAATGCAAATCAAAACTACAATGAGCTGTCACCTCACACCTGTTAGAATAGCTTCTATCAAAACAATGAAACATAACTAGGGTTGGTGAGGATATAGAGAACAAGGAACTTAGGTACACTGTTGGTGGGAATGCAAATTGGTACAGCCATTATGAAAAACAGTGTAGAGTTCTTCATAAAACTAAAACCAGAACTACTGTATAATCCAACAAGTCTTCTAGATATATATGCAAAATAATTGAAACCAGGATCTTGAAATATATCTGCACTCTTGTGTTCATTGCAGCATTATTCATTACAGCCAAGATGTGGAAACAGCTAAATGTCCATGGGTAGATGAATGAATAAAGAAAATGTGGTATATACATAAAATGGTATATTATTCAGCCATAAAGAAAAAAGGAAATCCCACAATGAGATACCATCTCATGCCAGTCAGAATGGCTATTATTAAAAAGTCAAAAAATAACAGATGCTGGCAAGGTTGTAGAAAAAGGGGAACGCTTATACATTGCTGATGGGAATGTAAATTAGTTCAGCCACTGTGAAATGCAGTTTGGCAATTTATCAAAGTACTTAAAACAGAATTACCATTCAATCCCTCAATCCCATTATTGGGTATATACCTAAAGGAATATAAATCATTCTACCATAAAGATATATACATGAATATGTTCTTGCAGCATTATTCACAATAGCAAAGACATGGAATCAACCCAGGTGCCTACCAATGGTAAATGAGATTGAAAGCTGTGGTACATATACACAATGGAGTACTCTGCAGCCATA